TTGAAATTAAGTCATATTTAGACAATTTATATTTAATTAATAATATAATTTTTCGACTGCTGTTAAAGTTATACTTTAGAAATTTCTGACATGAGCTCAGCCTATACACCGGGGTTAAACAAGACTGATGTAGTTTAGTCCGTTGCAATAGATCTATATCCTACACCAGATGAGGTAATTTTGAATTTTGTTGTGTAATACTATTTCTTGGCTCTGTTATAAGAAATACATTGAGCTCATATATATATATATGTATATAAATGTATAGTCAAACCATTCCCTGACGATCCGCTTAGGTGAAAACCTTGGTAGTTTTGTCTGGCTCCCTAGGTTTGACTAAGTCTGCTCTACTTTTGTATTGAGCACTTTTAAGTTAGTTGATTACTCGTATCGGGATTTTTTTCTTTGGGCTTTGGACCTCTATGCTGTACGATTATTTTCGACAGACGTTCATGTTCTTAGCTCTTTCTTTTTTTAAAACCTTTTTTTTCCTTCGAGATTGATTTGATCATTAGCAAATCTAGAAACCGAAGGTTTTCCGAGACGAGTGTAGTTACCTATATATATATATATATATATATATATTGGAGAAACATGGAGAAATTTTTAAAAAACGCATTTATGAGCACAAAAAAGACCTCACACAAAACAACTTAGCTAATGCTCAAGTCATACATAGAAATAAATTCCACCCCAATTTTGATTTTAAAAATGCTACACTCATAAAAAAAGGAAAGAACTCACTCAGAAGGAAAATGATCGAGAGTGCCGTCATTGAATATTATACAAATATTAATCTACGCCCAGGCTTTTAACCTATTTCGCCCTTCTTAACAAAAATTACTGCTTCCATTATATATAAATATATATATATATATATATATATATATATATATATATATATAGGCATTAGTGTGTGTCTGTACATCTGCATTAGCAATAACTGTTTATATATATATATATATATATATATATATATATATATATATATATATATATATATATATATATATATGTTGTGGGGTATGCAGTGGGTATGAATTCTCTACCAAACCTGAGAATATACTTATTGTTCCGTGTTAATCAAAGAACATAACAGCTCACATTCAAAGATGGTGGAAACGTCCGACTGCGTCTTTTCATTGTCGTCAGATGCGGACTTCGCCATTGTATATAAGCATATTCATGGCCGAGTAACTTTGGAATTCAGATGGCCATTCGTGATTACATCTTCCTCTCGATAGAACCCTACGGATCTTCGTGATCAAAAGCTATGCCATAATCATATCGAGCACACACACACACACATATATATATATATAATGTACAATAATGATGTATTTTAGAATGGAATTTGCATGAAGTTATTCCAACGAATGCATTGAAAAAAGCTTAAGTTGTTTGAATTTCTTAGATGAAGCATTGTTTTTTATTATTAATTTTTGACTCGTCTTTCTTTCATCTTATTTCTCTTGCTTGTTTCCACCTCGTAGTAATAAGACGTAATAGTCTTAAGTTGTTTGAATTTCTTAGATGAAGCATTGTCATTATTATTCATTTTTGATTTGTCTTTCTTTCATCTTATTTCTCTTGCTTGTTTCCACCTCATAGTAATAAGAGGTAATAGTCTTAAGTTGTTTGAATTTCTTAGATGAAGCATTGTCATTATTATTAATTTTTGATTCGTCTTTCTTTCATCTTATTTCTCTTGCTTGTTTCCACCTCGTAATAATAAAACGTAATAGTCTTAAGTTGTTTGAATTTCTAAGATAAAGCATTGTCATTATTATTAATTTTTGATTCGTCTTTCTTTCATCTTATTTCTCTTGCTTGTTTCCACCTCGTAGTAATAAGACTTAATAGTCTTAAGTTGTTTGAATTTCTTAGATGAAGCATTGTTACTATTATTAATTTTTGACACGTCTTTCTGGCACTTGAAAGAAGCCAATAAAACACCTACAGTAAAATGGAAATTAATTAGAAAAGCTAGAATATGTAGGTCATTAAATGACCCATGTCCTTTGTTTATACATGATAAACTATATATTACTAAGTTTATAAAGAATAAAAATTTACTGAATCAACGAAATGAAATAGCTATTCTTTGCCGACATTGTCAAAAATTTTCTTTAAATAATATTTGAAAATGAAATAAAAATAAAAAAAATTAAAAAATTGGAGCTGGTAATATACATATTTGATATGTAATAATAATTTTTAAATAATTTAAGTAATTATATTACATTAATTTTTTTTAAAAAAGAAATATAGTCTATTAGTAATTCAGAGTAAAAATAATATCTTAAAATTGTAGTGATTCAATATAATGTATTCTAACCCCTTTAGAAAGAATCTTTATGTATACAAGTACGAATTTTGCGGATAAAATGCCGTTTTTTTGTCGTTGATAAAAAAAACAAAAAACAGACGACATGCGTTGAACGGATATCAAAACTCTACCCTCTCTAAACTTAACCTCGTTTTCGAACGTAACTCATCATTGATACAATAATAGTTAATATAATTGAACATGCTACCGCCCCTGTCTAAATGATTGGATTTCTCTGTATCCTTGGAAAAAAATATTATTGATTTTTATGTGCGTTTAAAACTTAAAATTTAAAAATAAGTTATTCCAAAATTCGATTGAAGATGAAACAGAACTAATGCTTTTAATTTAATTAAATAATTAAATTTGAAGTTTTTAGCTTCGGTTTTTGAAACATGGTAATTTTGGTGTAGTGACGAAACCCTATTTTAAATCAGTTAATTTATATTTATGTTCTGTAAATTTGCATTGAGCTCTGTTGTGTAAAAATAAAGATATCAATAAGAACACCGGATTATATATCTTACTGTTCTTTCTTTTTATTATAATATATATATATATATATATATATATATATATATATATATATATTTCTTAGAATATAAGATCTGTTACTGTTAATATTCTATGAATATCTTGGGCTTCTCTTTAGCTTCACTGGAATGATATTTTGTTGTATATGTTCAATGATTTTTTTTACTTCCCTCATATTTTGTGGTTTCAGTTATGTTATCGTTGTCGTTGTAACTTCGGTCAATGAATAAATAACGGAGACATTTTCAATCTAAAAATAATTCAGTGAATTATGTTTGTATACATTCGTTATGTAAGGAGATTCGGTTTGCTACCTTTAACAATTGCATTGGCTAATGGCCTCATCACACAAATCACACAATACTGTTGCGAAGAAAAACTACGTCAAATTAAATTCAAATCTTAATCCTTTTACTGTTTTTTTTTAAGAGATTTCGATACGTCTTCCTTGTCAAGCGACCAGATTCTACGCGATGTAACTGTCCATTTACTTGCAATATGGCTTCCTTGATTACTAACTCGGGTGTTTTATCACTTGTTTGCATGGCTTCACACAAAGAAAACGACGAGCGGCCATTACCATTCTTGACACAAATAGAAGACAAGAAAATAGATATATACAAGGTCCAAAAACCACTCTTCCTGGGTATGACGATAAAACTACATCCGGCAGCAAGGCCTCCGATCGAGAGCTGTTGAGGCGCGTGGAACCACGTCTTAACTGCTCTTATTCCCAGGTCCACCCTGATCCGGGTGGTAGCACCTGTTAGGGTCCCAGCTAGGGGCAAATAGTTAAACCCCAAACTTGGGCCAAAATGCTACGAAAGTATAAAAACAGAAAATTACATAGATTGCTATCATAAAAATACCAGCAATAGATTCTTGAAAAAATATTACAATACATTTAACTCTCTACAAAAGCCCTCTTTACCAAAAAAAAAAAGACGTCAATGAAACCTGATCGTTAAACTGATTCCTTACAAAGAATACATTTTATTCATACGAATTTATCCTAAAAATCTTCTCCGCATTGAGGTCGATATGCTGTAAAACAAAATTAACCAAACCAAACTAGACTCTCTACAAATGCCTCCTTTAAAAAAAAAACACGTCAATCAAACCTGATCTACAAACTGATTTCTTAGAAAGAATACATATTTTTTTTCATACGAGCCTATCCGAAAAATGTTGTCGGCATTAAATAACCCCTTGAGGTTGATATGCCGTAAAACAAAATAAACAAAACCAATCTAAACCAAAGAATACATATTCTATTCATACGAATCTATCCTAAAAATGTTGTCGGCATTAAATAACCCATTGAAGTTGATATGCCGTAAAACAAAATAAACCTAACCAATCTAAACCAAAGAATACATAATCTATTCATACGAATCTATCCTAAAAATCTAGTCGGCATTAAATAATCCATTGAGGTTGAGATGCCGTAAAACAAAATTAATCAAACCAAACCAGACTCTCTACAAAAGCCTCCTTTACAAAAAATTTTACCCGCATTAAATAACCCATTGAGATTGATAAGTTGTAAAACAAAATAAACCTAACCCCTGATCTACAAACTGATTTCTTACAAAGAATACATATTCTATTCATATGAACCTATCCTAGAAATCTTGTCGGCGTTAAATAACCCATTGAGGTATTGACATACCATAAAAATAAAATAAACCTAACAAACTAAAGCCAAGAACCACTCAAGGTAAAAAATTACTAAATGAATTTTATGTATGGGCAAAACAGGTGGTGGGGTCGAGGGATTAAGTGCAGTCGATGTGGATGGGTATGATATATAAGGGTTGGGTTCTAGGACATTTGCGCCCCAGACATTTGCGTATCTGGACATTTGCCTCATGAGACAAAGAACCCAACTGGAATTGGAACTCGGTACTTCGATTAACAATTTCGAAACAGGAAATCCAAGATGTTCCCAAATGGTCACCCAAGTAAGTACTGGCCAGGCTCAGCTTAACTTTGATGGTCCAGTGATGTAACCGTAAGCCCGGACTGTTAGATCAAGACCCTTGAAATACACGGCTGATTTTGACCAAGGACCACCGTTTAAAAAGATTTGTATCCGACAAGTTGTATAACCATCGATTGGATCACTTCTGAATCGATGCAAACGGATGGTGAAGGCATGCCAAGTCACCCCTGTTCAGGAAAAACAGCCCCAGTCTCTGAAGAACAACAATAATTAGAGTGTGCATGCGTGCGTGTGTATGTATCTGAGTGCATATGTGCGTGTGAGAGAGAAAGAGAGAGAGAGAGAGAAAGACAGAGAGAGAAAGACAGAGAGAAAAAGAGCGCTCGCTGGCATGCGTGTCTGCAAGCGTGTATGTGTGTGTCTGTGAGCGTGTAGCTTATGTATGCTTTCGTGGGTATGTGAGTACACAGGTGTGCGTGCATGTGTATGCGCGTGTGCATGCGTGTGAGAGAGCGCACTTGCGTATTGTGTATGTGACAGAGAAAGAGAGCGTGCAAACGCGTATGTGTGTAAGTGCGTATGTGTGTGTAAGTTGCTGTGTAGGTGCATCTATGCGTGAGTACGTGCGTGAGCGCGCACTCGCGTATGTGTGTGTTTATGGAATATTCACTTGCCAAAAAGAAAGAATTATGCATAAAAATATTGTTCGTCTCCAAATAACCAGGAAGGGTTGATAAACCGTAAAAAACGCATCAGACTCTTGCCGGATGAAGGTAGCTAAATAATCCAAAGTTCTTTAGTATTTTTGTTATTATTTAAAAAAAAAAAAAAAAACAGTGCTCGATATATATACAGAGCCTAAATATAATTATTTATTTAAAAATAATTAAATATAATTATTTATTTAAAAATATGATTCCAACACGCTACATAAAAGTTCTCATGTTTCAAAACAAGAGCCGAAAATTTCAATATAATTATTTAAATTAAATTGAATTAAAGTACCAAGCTCTGTTCCATCTTCAAGCGAATTTTTTTTAGACACCCCAACCTTACCCTGACTTGACCTCTTTGAATGTAACTGAGATATTGATACAAATTATTAACCTTTACTCCCATTTTTTTTAAATAATTGCTCTAGCCGTTACCATAATAATTTTAATTTTAATAATGAATATGCTTATAAAAACGCGTAAATCACAGGAATAAGTTATTCCAAAAAAAATTTCGCTTAAAGATGGAACAGAGCTTGGTACTTTAATTCAATTTAATTCAAATAATTATATTGAAGTTTTCGGCTCTTGTTTTGAAACATGAGAACTCTTATGGGGCGATGGAATTATATTTTAAATAAATAATTATATATATATATATATATATATATATATATATATATAGGGAATATGATATATGTATTTCTACATAGAAGAATTAATGCTAGATAATTGAATGACAAAGGAGAAAAAATCTGTATAATGTATTTTGTCTTTGAAATATGATTTCATCCAATTGAAGTAATGTTTATATATATATATATATATATATATATATATGTCGGGAGAGGGGGGAGATATTAATGTATTTGTTTCTTACAATTATGCACTGATTGACTGATTGATTTATTTTCTTCAGCTTACCAACCTTTTGCAAATCCAGAAAATATTTCTACATTGAAAGAATTTTTTTTGAGATAATAATTAATTTAGTGATACAAGTTTTACTAATTAACCCATAGTTAGAGGGAGAATATAGTGGATTCATACCTTTTCCAAGGGTATTTGTATGTCAATGAATATAACGAGTCCAAATTGTCTCTCTGATTAACAAATCTGAGCCATTATATATTATTACTAATTAACCCATAGTTGGAGGGAGAAGATAGTGGATTCATACCTTTTCCAAGGGTATTTGTGCGTAAGTGCGTATAACGAGCGTTACGGGAATTAGAATTCGCCTCTCTACTTTACAATTCCGAGTATTTATTCATTACACCAAGTTCATATCGAAGCTTACAGCACATGGTATTCTCAGGCGGTTACCCAGCTAGCTACTGACCAGGTTGAACGTTGCTTAACTTCGGTGATCGTACGGGAACTGGTGTTTCAACGTGATGCCGTCTTATGCCTGGATCCCGTACAGAACACTAATTTTGTTTCATTATTTATGTCAATAATCTTCCCTACCGTTTAGTTGGTTGCCATGATAAACTCCTAGCCTCCAGGAATCGTAACCATATTTTGACCTGTCTGTCCTCGAAAGGTACCTTATGAAATTCCTGTAGATAAAGAATTTAGGAAGAAGCCATTTTCGGTACGTGATTATTGATTCTTACAAGACTTATCGGTATTTTCTCTCTCATTTTCTATCTATCTATCTATCTATCTATCTATCTATCTATCATAGTTTATTAATAATGCTCTCGCCCAATCTGTTCATATTTGAGTCTGTTCACATCTATCTATCTATCTATCTATCTATCTATCTATCTATCTATCTATCACAGTCCTTCATATCTATCTATCTATCTATCTATCTATCACAGTCCTTCATATCTATCTATCTATCTATCTATCTATCACAGTCCTTCATATCTATCTATCTATCTATCTATCTATCATAGTTTATTAATAATGCTCTCGCCCAATCTGTTCATATTTGAGTCTGTTCACATCTATTATCATCTATCTATCTCTATCTATCTATCTATCTATCTATCTATCTATCTCAGTTTATTAATAATGCTCTCGCCCAATCTGTTCATATCTATCTATCTATCTATCTATCTATCTATCTATCTATCTATCTATCTATCCCACTCTCTTCTCTCTCATACATTCTTTTATCCCTCTCATTCTTTCTATCATTCTCTCTCTATTCCTCTCTTTCTTTCTCCCATTCCCTCTTTTTCTCTCTATTTCAATCTTTTCTTGATTATTGATGTTTCTATGTGCCACATTTTCTCTCTTTCCCTCTTATTCTTTCTCTCATTCTCTCTCTCTTATTCTCTCATTCTCCCTCACATCCCCTTTCGCTCCCTCCTTTCTTCCCCTCACTCTCTTTATATCTAAAATCCCTCTAATTTTCTTTTTTATCAGCCCGTGTCTTTATTTCTCTCATATTTCTTTTTGCTTTCTGTTTTACTCGTCTGGCGTCAAAGGAATTCGCTTCGTTTTTTTCCTGGTAGGGTTTCATGTATATTAAACTCTTTCTTGACGCTTCTCTGTTGATGGAATGGCTTTGGTGTTTTACTATTTGTAGGAAAGTGTCATTGGTTTTTGTGAGGTGTTCTACCATTGCCATTGTTGTAGTTTTTCAAGTTAGTTCAAGTTGGATTAGACCTTGTTATGTCAGTGGCTACATTCATTTTTTTACTCGTTCCGGATATCCTGAGATAAAATGGTCGACAGTTTCTTCATATTTTTTCCGCAGATCCTGCATTTCGGCTTAGTCTCAGCTTTCAACGCAGTGTTCCTCAGCCATTGATGAGTCTTCTGTTGGTCCATATATACTTCTTTTGTCCTTTTTAGGTATTTGCCATGCAACACCTTGGCCTCCCTGTTTGTTTTTTTTTTTGTTTTTGTAATTTCATTTGACCAAGTTGTTTTGCTTTCTTTTTTGACTCATTTGGCGTAGATGATAGGATTTCAAGTATATTAAGCTGTTTCTTGAAGAGTACAGCCTTTTGGTTGATGGAGTGGATTTGGTGTAGGAGAGGGTCATTGGTTTTTTTTGTGGTACGCTTCCAATCCGATTGTTGTAGTTTTAGAGTTAGTTCATATTAGATTAAACCTCGGCCTCCTCAAGCTCTTGGTACATACAGCCAATCAACATCTGATTTCGTGTGGGACATCTTCATTTAGGTAAGCATTTTTCTGGTCTTGGCGTCCAATCTTCTAATGCCATTCAACTTCCATTTAATAATGTTGAAGTTGTATGTTACTACGGGTATAGCTAAGGTGTTGATAGCTTTCATTTTATTGGCTCCATTAAGTTTGCTTTCTAGTATCAAACATATCCGCCTATAATATTCTTTTCGGATCTTTTACTTCAGAATTAAATGTTGTATTCTGCCTCCTTTGCTAGTTCCGGACACCTGAGATGATATGGTCGACAGTTTCCTCATATTTTCCGCAGATCCTGCATTTCAGGTTAGTTCCATCTTTGATTATGTGACGGTGATGGGATCTGGTTTCGAGGCTTTGGTCCTGAGCTGCAATTATTAAGTCTTCTGTCTCAGCTTTCATCCCGGTGTTCCTCAGCCATTGATGTGTTTTCCGTTGGTCCACATCTGCTTCTTTCGTTCTTTTTAGGTATTTACCATGCAACGCTTTGTCCTCCATTTTTTTTTTAAATTTCATTTAGTCAAGTTGTTTTGCTTTCTATTTTACTTAGCTGGGGTAAATGGCATTCGATTCGTTTTTTATTGGTAAGATTTCAGGTATATTAAGCTTTTTCTTGATGAGAGGAACTTCTTTGTTGATGGGGTGGATTTGGCGTTTTACTATTTGTAGGAGTGGGTCATTGGTTTTTGTGGGGTGTGCTTCCCATCCGATGGTTGTAATTATTATTATTATTATTGTTATTTTTATTTTCTTTGATTTCTGGCATTTACACATCTCTTTCCGGGTCCCGTCCAGGGACCTAAGGTTAGAAATGGCGTCATGACACTTTCCACTGAAAAACAAAATTACATAGATAAAGCCCTTCGTAAGGTGTGGGCTGTACTTGTCAGAACAATTTTTTTGTATCTCCTTGAGGGATGGACGGAGGGTTAGGTCTTATATCATTTCCCACCGTACTTCTCCATATTTGGTATGTTTGATTGGTGGTGTTCTTTGCTGGGTTTTCGAGTGCAGTGAGGAAGGATGTAATGACTTGTCGATACTCTTCGCGGCTCCATTTCGTTCGTTTACTTTTTATTAGTCGATTTGGTATTGAGTCACTTGGTCCAAGGTTGGCAATAATCCGGGTTTGGTGACCAAGTGTCTCTTCGTGTGTGGAAGAGTTTGTTCCAGTGGCAGACTTTTCGTCCTCAGACTGGTTCCTCTCTGAGGGACGCGGCTCTTGTTGTCCCGGTTGACGGCCGATCCGGTATGAAATATTATTCGTATTCATTGAAATTGGTAGAGATGCGTTTTAACCTTGACCGCCAAGGGGTAATTATGTTCAGGTTACCAGCTTCAGGACGAGTCTCGAAGAAGATTCAAGGGCACGCCCAAACAATGAGATTGTGGATTTATTAATTATTATTATTATTATTATTATTATTATTATTATTATTATTGTTGTTGTTGTTGTTGTTGTTTCTTTGATTTCTGGCGTTTACACATTTCTTCCCGGGTCCCGCCCAGAGACCTAAGGTCAGAAATGGCATTATAACGTTTTCCACTGAGCAATTAAAAAACACATATTTTACATAGAAAAATCCCTTCGTGAGGGGTGGTCAGTACTCGTAAGAACAATTTTTTTGTATTTCTTTAAGGCATGGGCTTCCAGGAATCCCTTCAATGAATTTATTGGAATCTTTTCCAAACAATCCTAGGGCTCCAACTACAACAGGGATTGTTGATGTTCCCATATGCCACATTTTCGAGATTTCTATTTTAAGGTCCTTGTATTTTGACAGCTTTTTGAATATCTTTAAAGATACATTGCAGTCAGCAGGGACTGCCATATTAGTAAGGAGGCCCCGTTTTTGTTTGTGGTCTTTAATAACAATATCTGGCCGGTTGGCTTTGATTGTTCTGTCAGTGTGTATTGTGTAGTCCCATAGAATTGTAACAGGTATTATTATTATTATTATTATTATCAGCAGCAGCAGCACGTGACCGAGTGATTTAGAACGTTCGCTTTCTGACCATGAGACCCGGATTCGAATCTCAACATGGTCGATTTGTCAGAAGACTTCTTGATGTTATCGGACTGGTGGCATCTTTGGAAATGAAAACCTTGCCACGGGATGACTTGTGAGTGAAAATGGGTAGACGGAACCCTTGGGTGCCGTCGATAACTTTGCTAGCACGAAGTCCTAAGTCACCATGACCAAGGGCTTGAACGTGCTGGTCTTGTTCAAATTGTTGAACACTTTCTCTCCCAGAAACTGTAACTAAGGTCTGCTCAGCATAGTTGCAGTATGAACCACAGGTGGTCCCAGTGGGTGTTGAATAAACATAAATGCGTCTGAGCGAGAGTCTACTATAGGGATTGGTTAGCCACCCTAATAGACGGGTATCCTCGAATACGAGTGGCCAGCTATTTATTATTATTATTATTATTATTTCACGTTTTTCCGTTTCAACCTTATATATATATATCTGTATCTCCAAGCAACGCGGACTTCTGAAGCGATGGGATATCAGGCTCGATTCCATTGTTCTAAATGTAGGATTACTAGGGCAATGGTTGCCTAAATGCCCCACATTCTGGCAACTCGAACCCGAATTTCAGTCTTCTTCTTCTTCTTCTTCTTCTTCTTCTTCTTCTTCTTCTTCTTCATCATCATCATTATTATTATTATTTTACTCGAAGCGATTTAACATACAATTATTAAATGAATGAATAGCAAAGTAATACTATAGAATTCGAACCATATTTTTTATTCAATTGGAACGTTGTGTGATGATTAGACTTTATAAAAAAAAATTTGGTACATTCTCCGTTAATGATAAAGATTTTTTTTTTAAATGGTAAAAATAGAATTCATTATGCAACGTCTATGAACACATCCCCTTGGAAATTGCACAAGAGAACAAGTTAGATTATTTTTTTTTATGAATTGCTAAAACGTAATGAAGCATTTTCTCTTTGTGAAAAGATGTCGGGCAACCTTGGAAACATTTCGGCTTGAAAACTCGGCGTTCAAAGAAAGGGAAATTGAAAAAGCGAAACGGCGAGAAAACACGGAACGGCAAGAAATAAAGGCATTGAGTAAAATCGATAAATAAATAAGCTTTAAAATCAATGGTAATTTTTTCGGGGGGGGGGGCATTTTTACAATGATATTTTTCTTCAAACTATACAAAAGTGTGATAGAAAGAATCTTAATATAAAATCATATTCAATAAATAAAAAAGGTACCCCAAAATCCATTTACATGAAACTAATGAGGATGCAGAAATTAAAACGAAAAATAAAATCGATATTTATTGAAGAGAAATTTTCTCCATTGCAATTTTCCATTTATATATACATTTTTTTCTGTTTTTCTTATTCTACTGTTTCGTGTAATTCTGCAACAATGCAGTAGAATGTAGACTAAAGTTATCTGTGCATAATGCGCATGTTCTCCAAATCTTTCAGGTTCAGAGTTCGGGTGGTGCGTATTATAAACAAGAACAAAATATTGGCTTTCTTTCGAGCCACTTGCATCGCCGTATTTGGGACGACAGAGCGAAAGTTTGATTTATATCCCAAACTAACTACTGTGTACAAAATAATTTTATATATATATGTATGTGTGTGTGTGTGTGTGTGTGTGTGTGTGTGTGTGTGTGTGTGAAAATATATAGAAAATAGGAAAGATCTCGTTAGGTAAATAATCCAAAGTTCTTTAGTATTTTTGTTATTATTTAAAAAAAAAAAGTGCTCAATACAAAAGTAGAGCATAAATATAATTATTTATTTAAAAATATGATTCCAACACGCTACATAAGAGGTCTCATGTTTCAAAACAAGAGCCGAAAACTTCAATATAATTATTTGAATTAAATTGAATGAAAGTACTAAGCTCTGTTCCATCTTCAAACGAAATCTTTTTTTTGGAATAACTTATTTCTGAAAATTACGTGTTTTAATAGCATATTCATTATTGAAATCAAAATGTCCATGGTAACAGCCAGGGCGATTGTTTAAATAGGGAGGTGTGTTGGGTGTTAATAATATGTATCAGTATAGAGTTACATTCATAGATGTCAAGTCAGGGTAAGGTAGGGGTGTCTAAATTTAAGACGGAAGATGCTTTCGCCTATTCTGGTTTACGTGTCTATGGAGATTTATTTATTTTTCTATTTTATTTCTTTCTGAAAGGGTTTTGTGTATATAAAAAACTGCCGTAACATTTGTTTTTTGA